GATAATGTAGAATAAAAATATACTATTAGTCCGATATTTGAAAATATGCATGTGTTCGTTGTCACTGTTAAACTGTTGTAATAACAATGGAATAATAACATAATTTACTCAAATGTATATAATAATACATATACATATACATAAAAAACAATATTAAACGCAATAACTTTTTTGTACGCGAAGAAAAACTAATATAGGTCCGTCGGGATTCCAACCCAAGACTCCTTTCTAATACGTCTACTTTATAGTGAGCGGACGGAAGAGAATCCGTTCACGACCATGGTCCCTTCTTAGATTTAACGTAGTTCACAAATTCACCGTTCTCATAACGTAGAGGGCAGCAGAAAATCCCGGACTTTTTACACTATCGGTATTTCAGAACATGAGACACGAAGTCCCATAAGATGATAGGTATATCCTATACCTAGTCGGTGGTTTGATTCTTTGAAATATATCGAATATCGATCCCGGTTTTCCGGTTTTCCCGCGTAAAGTTGTTGTGTAGGTTGGATATAAGCACCAATAAGCACGCTGATCGTGTGTTGATTTGTGTACGTAGTTTCGTAGTTGTTGAAAGCATTGATATTAATTGTGTTACATTGGATTATAAATATTACACGAGATCAAAATGGATAATATGGATAGGGATCAAAGGCTCGAAGAAATACAAAGAGAATACGTAGATTTTTTAGACGACGTGGTAAGTTTAGAAATATTCATCAACTGACGTACGATAATTGTTTTTATAATTACTTATAATTGTACTTTTACGATTGTTTAATAAACTGGGGCATATGCCGATATAATTATATAATTACATGGGATACGTTGATTATTCTTGTTAGCCATTCTTTGTTAACTCAGTTTGTTAAGTTCGTACTGTTACTTTTCTTTCTTGTCTCCTTATTCGTTAACTTGTTCACACTTATTCTACTTTAAGTAATATTAATTATAAGTGTCTATTTCCGCATAATATGATGGAACATGGCTTTTAATGTTTCATTTGTATGCAATAGGTCTTATTTACTAAATAAACAAATTCTTCCTTAGGAGGATCAAGGCATTTACACAACACTTATTAAAAATATGATTGAAGAAAACAAGCAGAGATTGTCCGTGAATGTTAACGATTTAAGAAAAAAGAATCCAACTAGGGCATCAAGGTTCGCATAATGCATCAAGCTTATAAATTAACATAACCCAGACATGTTTCTCCTTAAGAATATCTTAACTGTATGTTTATATGAATATGTTCTTTATATCACTGAAATTAACTTTGTTTGTAGTCTGCTACAAAATTGTTTCGAAGAACATCAAGCATTTCAGAATGCACTGAAGCAATTCATTGGAAGTATCGACGTTGATTATGCGAAGGAAAACATAGATTTTTTTATAGCTTTTGAGGGAAGCTTTGGAAACAAACATGTTACACCAAGGACTCTTACATCGCGTTTTTTGGGCAACCTGGTATGCTTAGAGGGTATTGTTACAAAATGTAAGTTCGAGTTGTATATAAATTTACACTCTTATTTTTTTTTTATCTGACATCCTTTAGTTTAATAAACTCTGATTCCAATATTACAAATGTTAATAGGTTCCTTAGTTCAACCAAAAGTTGTAAGAAGTGTTCATTATTGCAGTGCAACGAAGGCCATAATGGAAAGGGCTTATACAGATTTAACTTCATTTGAAGCATTTCCTAACAGTGCAATGTATCCAACTCAAGTGAGCTTTCTTTTCATATTCGTGTTGACTCTTTGTAAATGAATCTTGCCACACAGGTAAAAATATACATTACAATTTATATGTTACTTAAAATATAGGATGAAGATGGTAATCCTTTGGAAACAGAATTTGGTCTTTCCACATATAAAGATCACCAGACACTGACTATACAGGAAATGCCTGAAAAAGCACCAACTGGCCAGTTACCAAGAAGTGTTGATGTCATATGCGACAACGATTTAGTGGATCTTTGTAAACCAGGAGACAGAGTTCAGGTTGTTGGAAGTTATAGATGCCTACCTGGCAAACACGGAGGATACACAACAGGCACCTTTAGGTTTGTCAGTCAAACAAATCAGAAATTTGCTACAGAATATAAATTGATCTAGAATTGCTTATACGTAGAGGGTATTTTTTCTTCTAGGACAATATTAATTGCTAACAATGTCATGCAGTTAAGCAAAGAAGCTAATCTATCTATCTCCCACGACGATGTGGCTATGTGTAAGAAACTTGCCAAGCATAATCCGTGTAAGAATATTTTTGAGCTCCTCAGCAAATCGCTGGCTCCTTCTATACATGGACACGATTACGTGAAGAAGGCGATATTGTGTCTATTACTTGGCGGTGTTGAAAAACTGTTGCCCAATGGTACAAGATTAAGAGGGTACAGATATTTCTACTAGGGTCTCTTAGAAGGATAATTGTGAAATATAGGATAATAAAAATATATGATCCTTGCGTGTTTACAGAGATGTTAATGTTTTGCTCATCGGTGATCCATCCGTTGCGAAGTCGCAACTTCTTCGTTATGTCTTGTGCTCTGCGCCAAGAGCAATACCGACTACTGGAAGAGGATCTTCTGGTGTTGGTTTAACAGCCGCTGTCACCGTGGACAGTGAAACAGGGGAGCGTAGACTGGAGGCTGGTGCTATGGTGTTAGCGGACCGAGGAATCATTTGCATCGACGAGTTCGATAAAATGACCGATATAGACAGAACAGCCATACACGAAGTAATGGAACAGGGAAAAGTGACGATCGCCAAAGCTGGAATACATGCTAGCTTGAACGCAAGATGTTCCGTACTCGCAGCTGCGAATCCAGTTTACGGAAGAGTAAGGCTCTCGTTGCGTTAGAAAGATCAAGACCTCAGAATTAACATCATCATTGAATGTTCGTGTTTGCAGTACGATCAATATAAAACGCCTATGGAGAATATTGGACTTCAGGATTCGTTACTCTCGCGTTTCGATCTGTTGTTCGTCATGTTGGACACGGTGGACTCCGAGCAAGATCAGATCATTAGCGACCACGTTGTCAGGATGCACAGATACAGAACTCCAACCGAACAAGACGGAGAAGCGTTACCTTTAGGTAGCAAGATAGACGTATTGACTACGAAAAATCCGGATAATATACATGCCGACGACACACAGACTCAAGTTTATCAGAAGTACGATGCCCTGTTACATGGCAATTTGCGCGCAAAGAGGTATTCAAATGAAAATTAATATATATACACCGGTATTATGATGAGACGCTATTAAATATCAATAAAGATAATCATTTGTTTCAGTGATCAAATTTTTACGGTAAATTTCATGAGGAAATACATTCACATAGCTCGTTGTATGAAACCAAAGCTCACCGAAGAGGCCAGTGAAGCGATAGCTGCCGAATACTCGAAACTGAGATCGCACGAGTCGTTGGAATCCGACCTAGCACGGGTATTTAAATTACATTTCATTCCAATTATTTGATTAATCATCGTGCTTTTATGCGCATATCTATTGAATATGCTCTTCGGAAAATTGAGATTATGATTTACAGGGACTGTTTAGGTACATAAGACGTGTTTTTATATTCATCAAGTTGGTGACGAGCTGCCAATGTGCAGTAATGGAGTAAAGAAACATTCATTTTATTAGTCGAAAAACGTTACCGCCGACGATGCCCACGCTGCAATAGAATTAATAGAATTCGCATACTTTAAAAAGGTTCTCGAGAGAGAGAAGAAAAAACGAAGGCGTCACGATAGCGATGAGAGTGACGAAGAAAACGAGGCCAACGACAAGAGGAAGAAACGTACTAAGAAAAAAACAAATGCTGCCGGAGAACAAGACCCTTATGATTTTGACAGCGACGACGATAGTCACATCGACGAAGCTACAAACAGAATGACTAGATCACAAACGAAACACAGTTCGACTTCTGACAGACGGTCTGACGGATCGTCACAAGAGTCTGAAAAAACTGTTGTTCCAGAAGCTCCTGCAACTATCACCGAAGAAAGGTAAGAACATAGAATGCTTTTAATTTTGTATGCAGAACGAGACAATAATCTCGAGCTATAATATCAATAATAATGTAATTTCACGGTCCACAAATACAAAGGGAGACAGATGTTCGATGTTAACATTTGGTTTAACATTTACTTCAGTATTGGAAATAAATTTATGAAGCAGTCCTTACCCCTACGTTGCTTTTTCCCTTAGAGAAAGCCGAGTTTGCTCATCAGTGTACATGTTGCGTCTATATGTACTTTGCATGTAAAATATTCTGGATCAATTCGTTATAAGGTCACAATGTTTTAAATTGTTAAATTCATCTTAAAACATGTATGTACTGGATATACACATTCGAGTGTTCCTATTTAATTTAATACTTGTACATGTTGTGTGATTTCAGATTAAAAATATTCAGAACGCTTCTTCACAAGTTGTTCCAACAACAAAGGGCACAATCGCTTGCACTATCAAGAGTACGGGAATACATCAACAGTGAACAGTCTCAAGAATTTACTTCCAGTGAAATTACTGCCGCTATTAATAAGATGTCCGACGCTAATCAGATAATGGCTGCGGATGATAATATCTTTCTTATGTGAACTGCCTAGTTTCTGTAAGTCCTTCATTTTATATTTTTTGTACGGTTTTTTTAAATTATGTATATTTTTTATAAAAATTTTATGGAACAGATTTCATCGAGGACTTTACATTCGAATAACGTATACTCCCGAAACTCTCCCCCTTTTTTTTACGTTCAGTTATTTTCATACAATTTGACTATTTTTCAAAACGTTGTGTTAATAATAACATTCAGAATAATTGTATCTATCAACATTTATTATCTTCCCATTGTTACAATACAGCACATTGGCACATAAACTAGCAACAGTGATCAACATTCATTACAATACTGTAAACAATATTATTTTATAACTCTATGTCTTTCTGTTTTGTATACATATATATATAAAATCAACTCATATCACATAGATATAAATAGTTGTGCTGTCTCGTTTGAATATACATATCTAATACTTAGGCATTCTTTTCTTTACACAATAACGCGTCTACTCGCGCTCTCAGTTTTGTTAAAAAAATTCTTAACTTTCTAATTTCATCAGTATCTACTACTTATCAGCTATCTTCATTTTCGTGATCAATGTGAATATATTACAAATCTTTTCAACGGTCAATCTGACAATCAAATTTTAATAATACTGTAATTCGATATATTCTTCTGTTCTCTTTTCGTGAAAATAACTTGCCCGTTCAAATTATAATCGTTGATGATTTCAAATCGTTCAGATGTCTAGTATGTATACCGATAACAGAATCTCACTATAACATTTATTACAAACAGATGGGAAACGCTTCGCAACTGCCAGTATTAAAGTTACTACTTCCTTATCATTATAATACAGGCCTTTAGGACGTAATGTTTCTGTTGTAAACGAATTATTACATTTAATTATTTCTCGTTCATATACATTACATTGGATTGAGTCATAAATAAAGTTTATATGTACTTATTAAGGTGGTAATCAATCAGTTACGAAACTTTATAGCAATTACGAATTTGGAAAGTGACCACACAATAAATTAATGTCACATGTCAAATATTTTCGACAAAAATAAAATACATAAGACAAAAGTTATTTATGACTCAACCTAATAAATGAAACTTTCAAATAACTAAATTATTTGCAACATAAAAGAAATTATCGTTCGTGTCCCTTGTATTCACAGTTGTCCCAGACAACATCAATTTGATTAATTTTAATTAGCACTTCCGTGGTTCAATACGTTTTCATTGTACAAAACCTATGATATATCTAACTCTACGAATCTATACAAATTCCATACTTCAACACCGATAACTGGCACAAAAAATATATGTGTAACGGAATTAACAGATTATCCGCGATATATCTGAAACACACTTTGCATGATCTACAGAACATTAATCTATGTGGAACCTGAGTGTTTGCTGAGTAGAAAGCTTGAGATACGAGGGAAAAGAACTCATTGATTTTATCATTTGGAAGAATACTAACATTAAGTACTGTGAGAAGATAATTTAAAACAAAAAAGGAAATCGATGCAATACAATTCCCTCATGTAACAATGAAATTATTTATATATTCTACCTGTAGAAATAACATAGTAAAAAAATTAAGCATTTATGCCTTGTATGTCTCAATATTGAAAGCTGTCATTGCAGGATGTATGCGACACTGCTAGAAAATTATGCACTCAAAAAAATAGTTATCCTTTGAAATTTTTAGTAGCGTATCAGGAATTACATCCCTCTTTTCTCTACATCAAGACTGTAGGTGTTTGTTTCTTCCAAAACATTTTTTGTCACACATGATTATTCAGGCACGTATTTATACCTTTCTACTTGGTTATATCGTTTTCGAGAATTTCATTCGCCAATTTTAATCATATATGAGAAGGGAGCTCGTGCGAAAGGCATTTGAATATAATCCCTATTTTGCATCGGTTTCGAATTTGGGTTCAGATTTACGTATTCAAATCGTTAAAAGCAATGCGATTTCCAGTTTTATAGGATTTACGTATTCAAATCGTTAAAAGGAATGTACTCTCCAGTTTTATACGTATGCTTTTCACGTGCACCTGTCAGAGAACATTTAAACCTCATCTTCGCTGGACTCACTGCTGTATGCTAGTTGTTCCTTCCACCATTCACGAACCTCTAGCATAACGCTAGAAGGCTTTGGCACAGTTGCCTTCACATTCAAGACCTCTCGTTGTTGCCTGTTCTGCTCTACGCTTTCTGTCAGGTGTGGCAGATTGTTTTTCGCCATTGCTTCAATTGGAAAGCTCAAGTTAAAAAGGAATATGTAGCACACGAAAGAGAAGGTAAGCCAATATCAAATGTACAAAAATACTTACGCGGTGGCCTGTTATTTCTCTTCTTGGGTGGTGCATTCTTATCCTTCTCAGACCTGATTGAAGCTGAATCTGATGACGTTGGAGTTAAATACTTCTTTCTTGATCCACTACCTATACTATCTGATCTTGGAAGAACTACTGGTTTCTTTGCTCTGTGTTTTGCTCCGTCTGCATCCTGCTCGACAGAATATATCGATGAAATTTCAATGAAAACACAATAGGTAAGCTATTCCATCGTACTCACTTTTGTTTCTGTCTCCTCCTCTTTATCTGCCTCTTTTCCCTTTTCTTCTGTATGTTCTTGTTGCTGTATGGGTTGGTCGGTGTTCGCACGAAGATTAACCACTAGATTTTGTTGTTTCTACAATATAAAATTTAGCAAGTTTTCTTTTCACTAAACAAGAACTGTACATACATTGGTCTTTAATTATTGTATCCGATAAAATACTCACGCCACTGGCTCGAAATTTTTTCAGACAACCCTCCAGCCAATTCCTAATTGTTTGCTTGGCAACTTCTTCTTCGATAATGTATTCGAACTCTTCTCTCGCAAGCAATTCCTCCAGTTGAAGAGCTTTTCGAATATCCACTGAACGATACGATAACATACTACAAAACGAAAAGAAAAATGTGATCTCGAAATAAGGATTATAACTTGGCAGGAACTAACAACTTCTATACTTTATAGATTAACGCTCACTTGATAACATCGTGAAAGGTAACATCTTCGCCGTTGTTCAATTTCTCCAATTCATAACACATATGTTTAAAGAGCAATCGATCCTTCTGTGGATCAGTCTCTAACCTGCCTTTCAACAACCGTAAGATAAACTTCACCTAAAACAAACTAATATATCATTACTTCTAGTCTAATTGGGCGACGGCCTGTTACATTCACAAACAAATTATTCTTTCAGACATACCCGTTTCACCGGTATGACGCCTTTCTGATGGTTGTCGACCACGTTCCATGTGTTCTGGAAGTTCCTAATGTCAGCGTACGACAACAATGCGTCTTCCTCGTTCGAGTAAAATAAGGAGAAGTTCTCCATAATAATAGCTGTGTCACGGAAGAATTATGTTTTTATCCAAAGAAAGTGTCTCTGAGAAACGTACCCCGTCTGGCATCCCATCCAGAAGATCGATCGGTACTTACCCACCAGAAGATTCAGGACAATGTACGTGATAATTACGTAGAAAGTACAAAAATAAATTAAGGAAGCATGGAAATTGCCGCAATCGGTCTCCCAATAATTAGCAGCCGGAGTGCAATACGGCGGTTGTATCATGCAATCGTGCATTATCTTATTCCAATCTTCTCCTGTGACAATGCGAAAGAGCATAGCAACGCCAGTCACAGGCGACTCGAAATTGGCACGTCTAAATGACAAATATCTCGCTTAGAATCATGTCCATATCAGAAACGCCTGCGCTATTTCATTACACGTAAGAAGAAGACACCCTGAGCTCGAATTACAAGAATTGTTGAGTAGACTTTACAACAATTGAGCTTTCAGATAATAAAAAGCTCTAGTGGTAAAAAGAAAGATTAATGTAACTTCTACAGTTTGAAATTCAAGATCGTTCAAACGTTTTCTAGAAGATGATGTTAATATTTTAGTTACACGACTCAAAACAGAGTAAGATTTTTATGTTCCTAGTGACATCGGTTTATCACAATATAGAGTATAATGTACACCAATTTTAATTGTATAATTTGTGAGATCGTGTACTTCAAGATACAATTCCCAGAATACATAGAGTGTACTCATCAATTCCTACAATTCGAGTATGAATGAATTGATAGTGTCCTTCCCACGTCAATCTTAAATGTCCCTGTTCTGTTTTAAGAGAGTACGTGGCACACATTACCTTCCTATACCTTCACCGTACTTTACTGTCCCGAAGATGATCGTGCCGGCTAGGGCGTAAAAGAAAACAAGGAGAAACATGCCGAATATAATGAAGAAACTTTTACAAACGGACACTCCGACCGTCAACATCAACATTTTCAGGGTTGTATGTTTGCCGGTGATGGTGAAGAATCTAAGGATCACGACCATAAAGCCGATTACGTACGACAGATCGTTCTGCAAGAAATCACTCCTGTCATTACAAGCGTCTCTCACAATATTTACAATTAAAAAACACCGAAAAACGGAACACACACAACGATTGTATATAATTTTTTTTTTCTTCATACTTTGGTTTATACCGGCAACACGTACCTTCATTGTGCAATGAATGACGATCCAAATAACACCGACGACTGTCACGAGCAAATCATATCTGTTTCTTCTGGACTGCCAATAGCCACGTGGTGTAAAAGCAATATTTTTCATGATCACTTCCACGAGAAAGATCAGTGTCAGAATCGTGGACACCGTAGCGAGTGCTTCCGTGTGTTCCTCCTCGATTCTCCACTTGAGTGAAAAATGAAAGAGAGAGAAAGAAAAAAGATTGTATTGTCGTTATGGCAAAAAGGAAAAACATGTGTTGGTTTACTTTTACCACGGTCTAATGGTAGCCGGCAAGGAACAAATGATTCAAAGTAACAGTCTTTTGTGAACGAGTTGTGTATCCTTTTGTTTGTTTGTTTGTTTGTTTGTTTTTTTAATTGGTATTGTGTTAAAGTTTTGTCTAGTATTTGTAACGGTGGTGTTGTGTGTTGTAGCTATACTTGGTGAAGGGAGGAAGAAATAGATGATATATAATCCAACTCACGGAAACACACAGAAGAGCACTGTTTATGAGTACCATGACCGCGATGAATCGTTTGAAATATATATTCTGAGTGATGTCATAGATAAACGCTCGGAATTTCTTCCCATCTGGTCGGGGCGGTAAGTGCAACGGTTGAGCGATCTTCAGTCGCTTTTTTAAATCGCACCTATTCACACAACAACGTAGATTCAGATTTCTTTGTGTTCACAAAGGATTATTTACCATTCATAGAACGAAATTTAACTGATTGTTTTTCTTATTTTTTTTTTTTATTTTTTTTTTTTACCATCGTCTTTGATCAACAGTGAGCAACGCGGTTCCTTTGTTTTCAGAATAATTGGCGATAACAACGCCGACGAACAGAGTCAAACCAATCATACAACCCAGAAAGATGTAGATATGGATATAAATGGCGTGGACCTAAAAAATGATCGTATACAGTATCATCGTCGTGTTTATACCGTGTGGTGAATACATTTTCTGGGATCTCAAAGTGAGTGTCACTTACAGGACCGAGAGCCTTGATAAGAACATCTCTAACATCGAGCCATCCTTTAAACGAGAGCACCTCAAAGAGCGCCATCAGTGCGTCACCGATATGGTCGAAATTAAATCGTCTGGGATTAGCCCTAAAATATATTTCACTGTCTGTTTGAATAACGTTCCTCCGTAACGGCAAACGATTTTCTTACGTGTCATTGTGCCTACCAAACGCGTGGTACTAATATGGACGGGTAACTCTCGTTTTGGCCCGGGCGTAGTTTCATTTTCGTCACGAACACCCGTCTCATGAACACCCCGACGCATTCCTCCCGTTTCAGAATAGTCGGGTCGTTGCAACGTGCTAATCTACCCCCATAGAGCTGGACACCGTAACTCGCGAATATGAACATCAATAGAATCAACAGAGTAGATACCTAAAAAGCTTCTTATTCATTCTTTGTCTGAACTCTTCGTATAAAATAGTGCCCATTGAACGCAATCAGAGATTTCATTAATAATAACAACCCGTGTCATAAATTTCTCTAAATAGTTCTCTTTTTCTAATATATGAAGAACCTCTCTAGCTGGTGTTGCTTCATAAAAGTGAGGTTATCAAATGGACAAAATGGGAAATATAGAATTTTCCCGTTCAAATGATCGAATTTTCTTAATGTATTCTATATTCTTGAGAAAATGCATTAGACATAGATAGATCAAGAGTTATATCGCAAAAAAATATACAGAACATCGCTCCAATTTTGGAGGTACCAAGAATTGCATCTATTCTGAATCTCGGTATTATAGATATCACCCAAACGGAGACAATACTTGTAGAACTTCAAGCTCTTAAAAATATAAGTACTTAATTGAATAATTTTGCGTATCAGTGAAATAAATCACGAAATAGGCGTACAATGTCCCCAACAGTTCAATTTGGTTTTCCAATTTCACGACAAGGATTGTTCTCACCATGAATCTCTCGATTAAATTCCACGACGAGAATTCAATTAATATCGTGATCAGATTATTTACCAATAAGATCTCTTTGAACCCCCTACATAACTCATACACGACCTTCCTCATGTGCGGCACAAGCGTGAATATTCTCAACGGTCTGACGCATCGCAAGATCATCAGAAGCTGAGCGCCGGAATTCGGCGGCACGCTTTTCGGCATCCAGCAAAGGAACACCAGACTGACCTGGATGATAATTAAATTTAGCAAGCGAAATACCGCGTCGATCGGTAACTGAGACCGATCTTCGATGTTTCAGATACACGTTATCCTCTAGAATTATTTCATACGACTAGTAGTAACGTCGATATTTAGGGTGTTCCCCATTTAAATGCCCCGCCCTGTATATATGGAACATACAACGTAAATGAAAACATCCAAAACTGAAGCAACGTCTTTGATGTAGGCCTTCGGCGTGAAGAACAATCCGTCCGCGAGGATTTTCAAGGCCAGCTCGATGCTCATGAAGATAACGAAACCGTACTCGGCGATTTGCAACGCGGGCACCTCCATCACACGGTAACGGGGCGTCTCGAACATCATCGAGATGCAGGACATGGTCGTGGCGAAGATCATAACCCAATCTAGGTACGTGACCAAGCCAAGGAAGTTGCTACAAAAGCGTGGTGGATTAATTGGCCAGTAATCGACAACGATCTTTCGATAATTTTGTTTGTTTCAAGCGAAATGCTTCTACGGCAAAGTGTCAAAGGCAGCTACAGTTTGAGAAGAAAAACATTAAAAAAAAAACCACTAAATGGGGGACACTTACTGCAGACTCTTATATTGAACTTTCCTCTCTTTCCCCGTCAACGGATCTTTCACGTTGGTGTCGTAACGCGCGTACACGAGCGACTGGCAGATTTTCCGGAATTTACTTTCGCGCGGCACCGCGAACAACGGCGTATCGAAAAACGGATGATTTTCACGCAAATCCTCCTCACGTTGGTTTCTGTATATCGGGGGAGTGCAACAGGTGGTAAGCGTTAAAATTCGAAGGATATATGTGGTGGAAGTGTTTTCTTATTTTAAAGCTAGTAAATAGTGCAAAGAATCGATCATTTTACCTGCGCATCTCGGCCTGTTGCCGCTTGGCTTGCAGTAATTTAATGTCCAAATCATGCGGTCTACTGCGCGAAGAACTCACTCTGTTTATACCTCCGATATCACCGTTCTCCATCAGGTGCTCGTACGTTTGCTTTAGCTTGATGGACCCACTACGGACGCTTCGTCTGATTGACCTGTTACATCAATAGCATAAAGCAACCGGTTAATCGCCAATTGTTTATATAGTATGGAAAACTATACCGATAAGAGGGAAAAAAGCAGTTCCTTTGTCGGAGTCATTTTGAATAAAAGTGTAAGATCGTTAAAGTAAGTGTCTATTAACTACATTAATTTAATTATTTATGACACAACGGTATGTAACTTACTTTTTTTGATCGATACGTAATTGCTTGGCACTATTGACAGTACCTTGCGGCTTCAAAAGACTTTTTCCTGGTACCGGTATCATAGCGGAATCGCCTAACAGAAGCCTCTGATTATTTGAATCACTGACAAGTAATATTGGGTGTAATTAAAACACGTGTGATCGATCACCATGTTCATAAATTGCAGTAAAATAAAATATATTATATTTGTAAATAATCTTGAAAGTTGTTGTAAGATGTACTCACTTTATAATGTAGGTAACAGCTGCTTTTTTAAGGCTAACAACAACATTCCTTACTTTTGGTGGATTGTTTAAAATCTTAACTGGACGTTGCTTTCTGTAGATCATTTTGGAATCGAACGTTTCACTTATTTTCTTCGCCCCTTCGTTCTCTTCGTTCTCCATCTCGAAGACGAATTGTCGCATAAAGCTTTCGCGTACCTAAATCGGAAAAATCTGTTGAGTAATGTTTCACTTACGATAAGAAAATAAATTTACTTGAAGTATTTACCTTCGGGAGACTAAAATCGGACGGTACTTTGTGCAAGCACGTCATTTGCGGACTGTCCGGAAATTTTTCAAAAATTCTCAATCTGAACGGCAACGTTTCTTTTATCTCTGCGCTCTGCTCGCGAAACTTCAGTTGCTTTAATTTCTTAATATCTTCGTCCAACTCGAGATTATCCAAAATTACTGCGACGAACAGACTTAACACGATCTTAAGAAATAAATAAAAAGTCGATATATACTCTTCGTATGACTGAATTCTTATAAAAACATCCTGTATACAGGGTGTTCCACTTAAAACAGGCCACCTAAATATCTTCTCTATCTGTGATTATATGAGAAATATTTTTTACATAATTTAAATGGTTTCAAGAGACGAATCAGATGGCGGCCAAATTTTTTTATATAAGTGTCATTTTTTAAAGACTTTTTTCAGGGTCACCCATGGTTTTTTACGTAATTTTTCCTGTTGTATGTTATAGCTAACGTTATTATGCATTTATCCATGTATAATAGTATGACCTTGAACTCTAAAAATTTTAAATTCACTTATATAATTTTGCCGCCATCCGATTCGTCTCTTGAAATAATTTAAATTACGTAAAAAATATTTAGGTGGTCTGTTTTAAGCGGAACACCCAGTATATATACTTATTATTACCAGTGTGACAAACAGATGATATAAAATGAAGTAAACAGCTACAAAAGGTCCCATTGTCTCATGTGTTCTAAGCATTGTTTCGTCCATAACATCAACCCAAGCTTCTTGCGTAAGGATTTGAAACATAGACATAAAAGCCTGAAAGAAAAATTCATCAAATATTCACCAAACGTGGTGTATGTACATACATGTAATTCACTAATACGCGTGTTACCTCTGGAAAGGTCTCGAATTTGGTGAAGTCGCATAGAAAGCAGAAAAGTTGCATGGATATACTAGACGATATAACCAGCAGGCACATGGTAAATATAATGAGACTGCCCAGTTTCTTTCCAGGCCCAAATATTTTGTACACAAAGTCTTCCAACATCGGTGACGCCTTGATCAGCCTGACCACCCTAAGAACCTGATACGAGCCAAAGCATACACACACACACACACACCGTATATTAATTCAACACCGTTCACTACAATTCCACTTCTGTATCGTAACATTAATTGTTTACTTATTCTGTTTAGCAGAACGGAAATCGAATGAAAATTAGATGTAGAAACCTGAAAATATGTGAATCCAGAAAGATAGAAGAACGGAATGATGTGTATGGTTGTACCAATAGCGAGCAGCAGCTCGAATTTGTGAATCGAATGCTTGTAATAACTGCGGAATCCGAGGCACCAAATTTTGAACAACGTCTCGAGGTCCAACAATATCGTGAAAGCGATCTCGGCGTAGTAATAGTTCGCGTAGTAGGTGTGCCGTGGCTTCTCGTCGTGTTTGAAGCTCATCGTCGCGGTGGTGATGCCGTTCGCCAATATGGCGCACATCACCACCATCCGGAACTGAGGGGATCGGAGGATCGCGTGACACACCGGTGAGGCCAGACCGCCGTGTTTGTTCTCGTCTAGAGTCACCAGACTCCAGCCGTTATCGTCACCGGTTAATATCTACAAAATGATATATATTACAAATATACTTTCAATTCACGTGACAAGTTTTATAAACACACACATACCAAAGAGAGAAGAAATGGAGTGATAACTGAGGATAAGGAGGTGGATACGTTTGAAGAATGGAAGCATGAGTGAGAGTAATATAATAGAAATTGTACACCAAGTCCATTCCTTGGCCTTGAGACTGGAATTATTAATAAATCTATATAGTGAGGATCTAACTACTAACTTGCGACGCGGTACTGTTGCTAATGTGCCCTCTAACACCCCACATCTGCTGGAACTGTACTCGTATCTCGTTAAATGTCTCCGTTATGACAGCGATGAACACGTTCTTGACCAGCCAGGCCAAGAAAAATATCATTGTGCTGAAGTAGAGAACTGCACGCCAGGCTGGCAGGCTGTCTATCGCACGGTACATAATGAAAACCCATCCCTCCTGTGACGCGGCTTGATAAACGGTAAAAATACTTGTAGCTGAAAAGCAAAGTTTCATCTGTAATCACTGATTGTCGAACATCATAGTAATTTGACTTGTTTTCAAAGATTTAACGTTTCAATGTTTCCATCATTACCAAATTCATCGAAACCATTGAAACCCATAATGTACTTCGACAGCTCGAGTTTCATGCAGGTCATCCCTTCCGGACACTGGTACCCTGATTCAGGATCAGTCGAGCAGAATGTGTCCGGAATGGCTAGACTGTTTATGGTTATGTGTTTTGGATCGGTTGTGTTAAGAACGCAATGATTTTTCAATTCTCCGAAGAACTGAACACCCAGCAGTCCATACAGGGACATGAAGAACAGGAAGAAAAGTGTCACATTGTAGATTTGTTGACTCGAACGCCTGAGTGACACGAATGAATAATGTAAGTATTGCATATCTTAAATAACCACGTCCAAAAACAACAATGGTTCCTCACTTGAATATCTGATTGATTCTAGCCTTCGGCATGGAGAACTTAAGGAAGACTCTTAGGAAGCGTATCATAATTAAAGGTCTTGGTGCCCGTAATATGGAGACGTAACTGAACTTTAAAACAAACCCTAGCATCTCGAACATCTGTAAAATTACGGACAACCAGAGGAAGACGACCATACTCCCGTCGAATTGGCACCAATGGTCTTTCAAGTATGATTTATCCCTCTGCAACGTATAAAAAAATATAAATTTTACATTTAATACTCTCACATGCGTATACACCCGTATATTGACTGTAATGTGTTCGATTACCTTCAGTATACCTCTAATATGCATCTTGGCGATCATTTCGGCGGTGAATAAAAACGTAACAACTAAATCGCAAACGAAAGTGATGTACTGAAGGGGCGGAATTTTCTCGAAAGTCTTTGGAGTATTCAAGCATACCGAAATTAATGATACCAGGGCGCAGAACCTCATCAATCTTCTAACCCACAGCTGAAACAATTAGGCGAGATTGTTATTCAATATTCCAAAGGCACTGTATGAATGGTGGTTCAATGTTTCATTTAAGTAGAAATTACCTTATTCACCCATTCTATGTCAGCGCTCTCATTGAGGGACTCCTCTGGCCCGTAATCGGCCAAGACGGGTTCCCCCTTGAGGCTCTGCTTGCGCCCCAGCATCATAATAGGTATTATGTTAGCAATGGTGAGGCCTATAACAGAAATATTTACATACATACGAACGAAATAAAACATTCTCTGTTGATAAACCGACTGACAGATAATAATTTCTTGCCGGTATAAAGACTTCTAATGTATAATTGTAATTTCTTTTATGACACCGTTAAAATAGTTACTACAATAAAACGGTGATGAGGTTATCAGTAAAGAAAGAAAGAAAGAAACAGAAAATTATAAAATCATATGGATAAGAATGGAATGCTGTTAATTGAAGTTCATTTCTGTAATGTAAAAGTTAACATATTTCGTAACCCAATCGGTTCAGGACTATTTCTGGTCGTTGTTCTTGCAAATGCGATTCGATCGACGACATTGACCCACCTTTTCTTTAACAGCTTGGACGATGACGAATATTGCCTTTACGGCAATTCATATAGACTACATGTCAGTATAAAGCAACGACAGAGCTTAACGTGTAATAAACATCTTTAGCAGTAACAACAAGCTGGTGGCATGGCGGTGAACATTTTTTTGGTCGAGTTCCGCGAGCTTCCCAGCGATAGTGAAAGCTCTCCAGGCGAGCATGTGCAGTGGGTACCTGCTGTCGCGACCAAATCAATATTTCAAATCCTGAACGGACCCGCGCCTTTCGACATGTTCTCCGAATTCACAAAATTTCTATCCTATATGAAATTATTAAATCTAGTTCTAGATTGTTCGTGCAAATAAATAAAGCAACAAAATTTTCGCTATATTGAATAACCAGTAACTAAGTAAATAGTCTTTTTATTTTGAGAAGATTTTACATAGTATGTAGACACGTAGTAAAATACATTATAATATATAAAAAAATATGTCCTTGCGTCGTTAGAAAATACGCGGAATTACTTGGCTGTTAAACTTCGCTTCATTAAAAATTGTGTTATAACAAAATACTTTTAATGTTGTTATCAATACTTATTAATTGTAATACTAGCATCGATATATTGGCCCAGTTATGATTCTTTGATGGCTTTGTCTGCCGAAGCCATCATTTTTGCGAATTCGGAGTCCGGATTGGATAAGAGCGTGGACGGTCCATCGAATTCAATTATCTGCCCGTTTTGCATAACAATGATACGATCGCACGAGACTACGGTCTTTAAACGATGAGCGATTATTAACACGGTGCAATTAGAGAATTCATTTTGTATTGTGGTTTGCACAGCCACTTCTGTTTCTGGATCGACAGAGGCCGTTGCTTCGTCCAAAATCATTATCTAAAGTTCATACGAATCGTATAGTCACCATTAAAACAATTTAAATTAATAATGAGACAGAGATATAAATAATAGACGGTGTACTTTAGTGTTGCGTAGAACAGCTCTGGTCAAACAAAGAAGTTGCCTTTCGCCGACACTGAGGTTATTCCCTCCAACTTCAACAGACGCATCTAATTGCCCTGGCATCTGTTTTACCTTCTCTCTCAGTTGAGTTTTCTCTAAAGCATTCCAAATGTCTGAGTCGTTGTACTGTTTAAACGGGTCTAAATTTGACCTGAAATACGCACAGATTAATAATGATTCATTAAGCGACCTTTCAACATGTGGCTCGTTAACTTTTCACGGCGTGGTCACCTTACAGTTCCACTGAACAGAACAGGATCCTGAGGAATTATGGAAAGTTTACTTCTCAACGATTCCAGGTTCATTTTCGCTATGTCTACGCCATCGATTTTAATCTTTCCCGCAGAGATTTCGACCAACCGAAACAGGGCAACGATAAGGGAACTTTTTCCAGCCCCTGTTCTTCCAACGATACCTAGAATTTGTTACCATCCAGTCGATAAGTGATGGATTAATAAGCGTAAAATTTTATCATTTTTCAGTTGCGTTTACCTATATGTTCTCCGGCGTTAATGGTAAACGAAATATTATGTAATACTGGGGCCAGTTCTGTTCTGTAACTCAACTGAACTTTATGAAACTCCAGTTTTCCGTGTGCCGGCCACTCGTCGGAAGGACTTACAGGCGATTTGTTGAGGACACCTTCTTTTTGCAAGGTCTGTATCACATACGCGTCTACTTTGAATTAATTCGGACATTTTGTAACTTGATTATTACTAGTAGAATACGTGAAACGTTTACTGACTCTCAAATAGTGGCTGATTCGTTCGACACTTATGAAACGTGTTTCTGTCTCCGCCATCAGTCGTACGGTGTATTGGAAGACACCAGTCATTTGCGTGGAATAGGCCATCGCCAAACCAGCGAGGGCTGGTGATATTTGATATCTAAGCGCAATCACAAGAAAGGCCGTGATGGAGGAGGAAGCGATCGCTAAACTGTCCAGTCTTGCCGCGGACCACCTCATGGCTGACTGACACAGGTAAACGCACAAATTGTTCAAGTCCAACAGTTCCTCGAATCTGGAAAAATAATAACTCGATTGTAGTCTTCTTCAGAAAAATAATGTTTAGAAGCATACTTGTTCGTAAAAGCTTTCTCCTTCTGAAACGCGTGAATGGTGTTCAAACCGTGCACGGTAGTTGTAACGAAACTTAAAACGGGCGACCTCGAAGTACTCTCCATTCTTTTAAAATCTCTCATTGCTACTCTGAAAGGAAGTTTGAATGTTTACTATATTTTAGAGGGAAGAAAAGTCATTCGGTGTGTTATTTATAACTCTGTTATCTTTACCTGAAGACTTTACTAATGTAAAAGAATATGGCACTGAGAAGAATTAACGGTAACGTGAACCACGGTACGATTGCGCATATAAAAATGATTGCAAAACTACACGTGAAGAAATTTTGCACCATATTTTCCACAGAGATCGGTATATAACTGTCAACTGTAATCGGAACAGTAACCAATTAGAAAACAAGATAATTTTTATGCTCACAACTATGGAAACATATTTGACAGACTTCACCTTCGTCTACATCACGACTGAAAATATTTTGTATTCTACCACTGGGAGTGGTCTCGAAGAAAGTTAACGTGGATTCGATCATTTTCTTGAAAACTTTATTATGCAACGTCGTTGAGGCGGTTATTGTAGTGTATGTAATTGTTAAACCACGCAACAGACTCGTGAATAGAATGGCTCCAACGCAAGCACCATAAATATTTTGGTAATACGTAAAATTCGGATTATCGTTTAAGTTGTCCGAGAACATAGTTTCATTGGTTTTGGGGTCAGTGATATTCTTAAAAAGAAAAAACAGATCCTTTTACGTTTCAAACAAAGTAAAAGCTCCATTAGATGCTAACTGAACATCTTATATGGTAACAATGATACTGAATTTCATATGTGAACAAACTAGTCGATCACCATACATAAAAAACACAAAAAATACTTACTCCACCACCAGCATTAATCCACGTGGCTAACCACCAAGAACTAAACGCAGAGCTTCCCACGTTCAGGAAAAGCGTGAAAAATACTACAAGGGCAACAAAATAACCACCTGCTGATTTTACGTACAAGTGATACGTATGTGGTTTCACTGTGCCTGTTTCTACCTTCTCTTCCGTGGTTAGCGATGCCCCTTTAGTAATATGTACGAATTTAATATTTTTAAAATGCAATTAAGACAAACTTGCGAAACATACCTCCTCCTCCATGCATTCTCTTCGACGTCTCACTATTCTCATGACTGTTCATGGAGTTGTATCCAATAACCGGTGTTTTTAAATCATCGCTGGCATTCCTACCTTTTATTTGACCAACCGTGGAGGATTGTCTACTAAACAAAAAGTCAAATTATATAATGCAACGCAATTCGTACAGTTCAAAGTGGTAAAGGTACAATTTGTGGAATTTTTTTACTCTTTTCCATCGTCCTCAGTCTTCAGCAGTGAACTGTTCACCATTACAGTGTATTCCTTGTTTATCTCCATCAATTCATCGTGTGTACCTTGTTCGATTATTTTACCATTACTCATCAAGCAGATTTGATCGCAGTGTTTGAGAAACTGGAATTGATAAACAGTCGTATTGTTTCTTTGTGTGAACGAAGAATAAAATAACCATTAATATCAAAAATTGACAATCCTGTATAATGTAAGATAAAAAAGTAACCATACTTGAACCTGATGCGTCACAAAAAGGACACATTTCTCCTTGAGTGCTCCAAGAATTAAACTCTTAAAGATATAGGATCCCACGTGCACATCGACTGCGCTTAATGGATCGTCCAAGAAATAAATATCTCTTGAATAGAAAAGATAATCAGTATTACTTTTATAATTACAGTAGACTCTTAACTATATTGCCATGGCTGTAGGGGAGTAAAATGACAATGACTTCAGAGCCCCCTCGTAGAGGTGTGTGGGGAAGTGCCTCGTGTGGTAATATGTTTAGTGGCAATATAGTTAAGAGTCCACAGTACAATTATCGATTTGATGATCCAGATAAAGAAACATTTCTCACCGGTTCGCATAAAATGCTCTGGCAAGAGCAACCCTTTGCTTTTGACCTCCAGAAAGGTTTATACCCCTCTCGCCAATCTCAGTGTCATCCCCACCGGGCAACATATTTATATCCTCTTTCAAGTTACATACTGTAACCGCCTGATAATATCGTTTAGCATCGAACTGGTTCCCAAATAATATATTTTCCCTGAGCGTTGTATTAACGATCCATGCTTGCTGACTAACATAGGCACACGTGCCTTCCCTCAAAAGGTGTCCATGGGTCATTTTCAGCTGACCCAAGGCGGCCAGTAGTAGACTAGACTTTCCACTTCCTACTTGGCCACAAATTCCTATCAGTCCACCCTTTGCTGCCCCAAATTTAATATCAGAAAGTACTTCCACATATTGTGCCCTCTTCGAAGATTCAGTCAGTTTTTCCAACTCAACTTTGTTACCAGGGAGTGAGGATTCATTTCTGGAAACAGATATCGAAAATTTGAATTCGATGAAACAGCAAAATATATTGGTAAATATTTCAGTAAATAAAACAAAAAACTTACTTCCTTCTACTATCGGTACTTTTTGACTTATCGGTGTGCAAACTGGAATTTTCATAAACGAATGTACCATTAGCAATGGCCACTGCTTGGGATTTCACAATTGGTTTCGATACGTGGCATGTATGTTCTTCTAAAACCAATACATTCTGCACAAATACGTCTAATTATTAACAGTGCATATCAATTGTTAAATAGAAATAATGTTACTCGAAGCAGCAAGTTTTCTTTTAGAACAAATCGTACCCACAAGTACCAGCTAGTTGTACAAGATGTTCCAATTATCTCTGTTTTTAATGATAATATTCAAGATCAATCGAAATCTTATGAAATATGGACGACATCTAAATTACATTACATTAACTGATACCGTAATTTAGAAAAAATTACATTAATTGAAATACCCTGTACACCAACGTGTTCGATTCTATCGAATAAAAATTATTACACATTCAAAGCACACAACTAAAATCAGCAAAGCAAACACCGAATTTATCCGTGCTGTTATATAATGCAGTTGGATATTACACAACTACATTGTTAACACTTATGTGTTTTGTAACCCATACAAACATGCAAAAGAAGTTTTATTAAAGTTACAAAACCTCTAACTATAATGCAATAAAAGTACTCATGCCATTTCTGCGTACAAGTTCATTTCCTGAAAATAAATTAAACGTGAAACAAACTGATTTCCAAAGCAAGTGACAAACAGTGAAAGCGTGCAAGTTGTCAATTCCTTGTTCGCAAAACTATAAGGAACTATGGAACTACTGGAAATGTTATATGTGTTAATATAATCTTTTGATTCTATTAGTGCTGTTAGTAATTATTACTAAAAAAAAAATATGCAAAAATAAACACCTGCAGTCTGTTGAGTGTTATCTTTGACTCAGCGATATAAACTAAGGCCACTTGTAAAAACATAAAAGAGGATCGAAATTGAGAATTGAGTAATGATACGAAGGGAAACACCTGGAAAAGTAATATATGGTAGTTTAAAGTGGTGATATTAGATACTAGTTATTCTTTTTTTTTTAGTGAATTATTTCCAAACATTCTCTACACATTTCACCTGTTCCAATTAATTATGAGATGGAATATCGTAGTGCATATAAGGTAAATCCCGAGAAACATAAAATCTAAATATTTTAGTTAAGCTCGAAGATAAAGGAATATGTTAAAATGTATTTCTCTTTAACAGTTTCTTTTATCTACTCGTCGTTCACCTTGTATAATTGATGTTCGAGGGAGGAGTAAGAGAAAAAGCAATTGTTTCGTATTTATTTACACGGCATGCAGCACTTTCCCCTTTACACCCGCGACTGTAATTATAATAAGCTTTTACCACTACATTAAACTGACATTGGAAGTCAGGTACATATTATTAATAAAACAGCTCCCGTGCAAATTCTCTTTTCTTTCTCTCTTTTTTTCTAACTCTCCGCTTCTTTCATTAATTTGTATCATGTTGCGTTACTTTTATCCTGCGACACACGAGAACTTGTTTGCTAATAATAAGTACAGTAGTTCACCCCCTAAATGAAATTGTAACTTCAACACAGAGCTATGGGAGACCACGAGATTAAAGTGTAATTTAAACTTAAACTTTGGGAGACCTTGAATCTTCTAAAGGCAATACGAGCGTCGAAAAAATATCGTGTGGAATCCTTAATCGAGACGAGTACCAATCTCAGCATAATTCCAAAAAATGTTGTAACTGGGAAAGCCTGCAATATATATTCCATTAAACGTAACACTCATTTTGTACTTCTTATCCTTCAAATATTTTATGTGAACTAGTGTTCCATTGGCCATCGAAGCGTTAATCTTTTCGTTATAAAATTACTTATTCTAGTATTCCTCCAAAAATTCAATTCGCTGTACTGTATGACAAGCCGGAACCTTTGGTCTCATTATTAATTCATCAACACTGAAAATTTAATATATACCTGAGCGGCAGTTAAGCTACTGCCCGACGATAAATGAGCTAAAAATGTAATAATTGCTGATATCACAGGTACAGCCGGCGTTAAAGAAATAGCAAGGCTTTGAAAGTATACAGTCTTATGTAACCAGTACTCTTCCTTCTTTCGTATATCTGCAACAGAATTATCATAAAACACACTGAGTGGTCTGAAGGTAACATTTGAGAGTACTACTTATCAAAGTTTACTCAAAATTGAATCGTACCAAGAAGTTTACGGCTAAAGTACTTCTCCCATGAACACATTTTAATTAATTTTATACATTCTAGTATTTCGTTCATCAGTTTCACACGTATATCTGTAATGACAACTGTCTTCGATCGAAAGTGTCCAACTACACGAGAAATAAAATACTGTAAAAACAAACACACGTTTATATCAGATACCTGAATTTAGAGGGGAAAAAAAGGAATGGCTTGAAAAATATAATAAATATGTAACTACTCACCTGACAAGGATAGAATACAAGAAAAGCGAACGTTCCGAGAAGGGCTAACGGGCTCAGCACCCAGAATATATAAATGATACCACAGATCATGATTATTGGACCATTGATTATCATTGGTCCATAAATAACCACATCGAAAAGTCTTTGACTATCGTTCGTAAATAAATTAATTAACTGTAATCATAAAGCAATAATATAGTAGTTGATCAAATACACAATTTAATGTTTAAGGCTGAACAAACCCTTACCTCTCCAGTACTTTTATTTCCAAGGCTATTTAATCTAATTATTTTCTTGTATAAAAGAGTGGTACACGCGGATTTCAACCTTAGCGCCGTTCTAATGTTCGTATTCCAGGTCCAAGTGAAAAATAACATCCGCAAGAGATCACAACATATTAATAACAGTACCCATTTCACGCCTACCCATGCATCTTCTTCTGGAGATTGAATATGTTCCAATACTTTTTTCATTACTATCATCTACGAGCAAAAGCAATGAAATACATTACTCGAATAATCTTCCGTCTAATACAATGATAGTATTCAGCGATTTACACAGAAATAGAGGTCGTACAGGACTTATAAATCCACAGATTGTAGTACAAGTTAATAAGAACCAAGCTATGCATATTCTCGTTCGCACAAATCGCCAAGCAACCATCCGAAAAGACGCCAAACGTGGACCACGTCTGCTTATTTCTTCTTGCCAAAGTAACTCTAATCTGAATGTAATATTACATTTTATAGAATAACTATATTTTTTACTGTTGAAATTAGGTTCATGAGTATCTTTGGTCGATGACAATCTTTGAGTAATAATTCAGGCAAAAATAGAACTCTCATTTGTTATAGAACAGCCAGTGCAAGAAAATTTCATTGTTCATTGTTTCGTAAAAAAAAGAAATTGTATCTATAATATATATGCACATCTATGTACAATCATATACTTCAGAATCATTTAAACTTCTGAACCCAATTTTTATTGAAGCAGCGATAGAAGGTATTTACCTATGTGCATTATATCTGCACGTTTCGTAGGATGAAATACGCGGTATATCATCTATGGTAATACCCTTCTTATATGCTTTCCATATATAAGGTGTTATCCAAGTGTAAAAAACATATGAAAATAATCCAGCGCTGTCTGCTGGCATACTATCTTTATCTCTAGAATAGAATATTAAAATGTATAAGAACGGTCATTTTACAATTGAATTCATTTTAATACGTACGGTTTTTCATGCCGTATGGGTATAAGATTTCTCAGAGCTGGATTGTACCGGCCCATGTCAGATCTCCTAATATATTCTACAGCTATTTTAGGCGAACGTGAGTTTGAACTAGGAAGTAAAAAATGCTCCCCTTCGTTAGTATGGTCATACCTGAAAGGTATACAAATTTTTTATTCGAGTTGAATAAATGTGCAAAGTGTAAAAGCTAATCTGTTACTGTAAAGTATCTCTAAAAGCAAAAGGGACACAAAACATCTATTACGCAAAACAAAAAAAAATTAATATTCAACTGGATTGAGGTGGCCTTTATGTGACCTTAATAGTTCCCCCTAAAGTGACATTGATGAATCAGTGCATATGTTCCTGAATATTAAATAAACTAAACACTTTACCTATACGCGTTATTTAATAAACTTTTTTGAACAAATAATTAATAATCCAGATTCTATTGATAGACTTTCAGGTGAAAAGGTATTGAAAGTCTTAGATGAACCGACATAAGATTGATAAGAATACATAGATCTGGGCAAGTTCTACCTTTCATTGTTAATAAACAGATTCTCATTATTCTCATTCTGTCCATTACTGGCAATAGTATCCTCTTGTCTATGGCTGTTTTCCATGTCTTTTGGTACTGCAAACCAATAAAAAATCATTAGACACGTAAACAGATTAAATACATTTTCCTGAAAAAAGGAAAATTAACTGAAACAAGGTCTAATCATGGAAAAAAGCGAATTCTACATTTGTTTCTAAAACTGTTAAACGTTTTGCTCAAATTACCAAATAAGTCAATTAAACGTCACCGTAGACATCTGCCTATCATGTATACATGTAATGTATATGTTAACGTATCACCCATGCACTCAATTATCGCTGGAAACATTACTCACCACTCGCCGTTATTAACGTTCAAGTAGTTAAGATAAAAAGAAGTATCATGTCACGGAAATCCTATCCCCGATTCAAATTGACATCGTTATCTTTATTGCCGCTAATGATTACAAAGAAAATAATTCGGCTGATAGGCGTCGCGGTGCATTAGACACTGGGTAACAAGTGTTGAATACGTCGGAGAGTTGATAAAGAATCTAATCTTTTCTAATCAAGGATAGATAGGCCCGAGTCTGGGCAAATATGAGGGCGGCTTAAATTTTCAAATTTCCGCGTCACAATTTGCTCTCTGCGAATTGAAGTTTACTAAACATCACAGCAATAAATAATAAATCAACAAAGCCGTTAGAGCAACTTTAATTCATTCGAAAGTAAACGTAGTAACTAAGATTTTGATGAATAGGTATTAGTTAAGTATCGAAAGGGGAAATAAAATCGGTTTATTTGTAACTAAAAACGTATTTCATATAGCTTTCTGAAAGATTTTGTAATTGTAAGTAGGTATACGATGAAAAGCTTTAAAATCACATTAAATAAGTCTCGTGCACAAAGATATAAATTTGCGTAAAGTTGTCTAATTATCTCTTTAATACAGTGACTATTTAATCAGAATTTTTTAAAATTCCCTTCCGCGCGATAATCATAAATTAACCTGATTTCCACCACAACTGCGAAGTTTTTGTCGACATCCATATAAATAAGAGTAGGTTTGCTGATTTCACAGCTTCGAAAATCCCTCTCGCCACGATTGAGATGAAGCATCGTAAAAGTGATATTTATCAAACACATAACTATCAACCTAATGTTGACACTACAGAATACATTTTTGTTTCTTTGATTTTAACGCCACATCGAAGACGAGGTTATTATGTGGAAACGGTATAAACGTTATAACGTAAATAAAGTGCGTAGAGTAGAGGGTAATTTATCGTCCCTTAAGAAATCGAGTACGTTTCTGGCGTCATTAAGAGGTTTGAGTTGTAACTGATTCAGTGTTTTGGACTGAACCTGCATTTTCTTTTATTAAGCAATTTACGACTTCTCATTGTTTTGCGTGTAATGTAATTAAATTTTATTATACCAATGGAAAAATAATTTGTTAATATATTTGCTTGAATGATGGGGTACTTACGTTCTGTATTAAAGTAAATAGTAGTAAATGCACTGATAAAATTGTATTTCGTGCAGAATCTGTTATTGTCACAAGTTCGAATTACATATACTTCCAGTTCATTGGTGATAATATCAATAATCCTCGACACACCGAAAATTACTTCGCATTTTTGTGTGCCTCATCGTGTGCTTTCTTGAATTCCGCGTCTGCCTAGATTCTACATGCATACGTACACACACTTAAGCAAATACACACCTGTATAGCTTGAATTACACGGGTATGGTGTGGCATATTGAATGTACATACTAGCATACTATAGCGTATACTGCATAATGCATGTTCCTTTAGTCACAGTTATTTGTAGTTACATTCGTAATAAACAAAAATAAAATTATTAATAGTTATTTTTTTTTCTTTTTGCCTTGTGTTATAATTATATTTACAAATAAAAAAGTCGTTTTTTATGAAGATAATATTTATTATTATACTTTATAAAACACAAGTCACATCAAACATACACCATTCCTATGAATTTTTTCATGCACAAGATAATTTATAAGGATACAGTTTGTGTCTTTCACGAATAAATTCCTCTCACATACAAAATATAAGATCCAAAACGAATACAACCATTCCTGCCTCGTGTACAACATTCACTTTCATAATGAAATATTTTAAGGAGTATTCTAACTCTGTTCACTTATTACACAGTGAAATATTACATGTATATTTAAGTTGATGGCTCTCCAAGGGACTCGTAATAGTTCAGAACGCTACAAGTAATAGATTGATGCATATGAGACCCATTATTTAATGGCTTGAATTTTATAATATGACAAGGAACAATGCTTATTTGTCCATTATAACACTAAAAAAAAAAACAGAAACGCTATAAAAATTTCATAAATACGAATGTTTTACATTATCATTTTTCAGCTCACTGTTTGCAATGTAAATTAACTAAACATTACCTATTTTTACGACATTGCATGTGCACCAACCTAATCAAATTGACTTGTTCAGAAGTAGTAGAATATCATTATTCATAAATGCTGAAAGTGGAATAGCACAATAGGATTTGATTATATATGCTGAATAAATGGTTTTACGTGTCCTCTTGCACTATTCGGAAAAGTCAGTGAAAGTCCAACATAAACTATGTAAATGTAACTGTGAGTTATTATTTAGATAAATATATTACAGCATGAAGTTAATCGTTGAAGATTATTTGTATTCAACATCTGAACGAACTATATCTTATCACGAATGCAAACTCGTTTTTATCTCTACCTCTGTCAATAACTTGCCGTCGAAGCCGTCATTGCATAATTTGTAAGTACGCTTAATTTTATGATATTGGAATTTGGAACACTTCTCGTGAGGTCTTGAAGTAGCAACTGTACAATGCACTTGAAATCGCATGTAAGGAGAGAGAGACAGAAAACAAAAATGAGGAAAGAAACTGAACAATTTGTATGACTTAGATTTCGTTTTTCTTTATAAATCAGAATTGTACTAAGTAATTTTTAAAATACAAATTGTCTTTTACAAAGTTGTCTACAATCATAACTGAAACGTAGAAACAAAATGAAAATGAAAAAGAAACAAAGTGCAACGTAATACAAATGAAATCTTGATTCATCTTCATAAAATATTCAACTAATTAATGTTCATATCGACAATACTTTAGCGTTATCAGAACTGAAACATAAGTTTTTTTTTATATGTTCTGGTTAGAATTAACGTATGTGTATCTCATGTACCGAAACAGTATTTCAATTTCTAAATTGAACGCAATATAGAAACCAAGTGTTGTTGCGACGATACGATTCATTGTGTTAAAACTTTGATTTACGGTACGTTTTATCGTCGGTAGCATAAGAAACGCGACATCCGGCCTCAAAAACTATTATAATTATTTCCTCCTAGCTGAGAGCTGAAACCTCTGTTCGGTGAGTATCCTGGCCTGAAGTTATTACCCAAACCTGTCAATGCGAATAAACATAACTTTTACACTGTTCAAACTGAAACGGGGAGAAATTAGAGAAAGTTAGAAACACACACCTCCACAGAAATTTCCAATGCCACCCAATGACATACCACTCGAACCACCAGTGGAATTTAAAAACAATTCAATGTACCTATGGGACATATGACTCTTGTCCTGTAAGGTAAGAATATGGCAATAAATTATTAGACCTAATTAAAACTTCTGTCAATAAAAGCGTAAACTATGCAGAAATTAATCGGTGATCTTTAATAAGGAAGATATATATATTTCATATCAACGATAAAATGATAAAAACCTTAGTCATGGCTTTAACAGCCTCTTCATGAGTTGCAAATTCTACATCAGCCTCTCCAGAAGGTCGTCCTCCATTTTCAAGAATGATCCGAACATTCACGGGCTCGATAGGTCTAAAGAACTATAATCAAAACATTCAAATAGGACACCAATAAAACAGATAATCAAATTGTATCAAAAAATGTTCTACTTTTTAGTCTTTACATATCTTGTAATCGATTTTCCTTGTATTTTTGTCTCGCCTTTTCCGTTGCGTAGCAGTTTCAGTCTTTGTCTTCCGTCCGTCAGTAAGTTTGTTTGTTTGTTTTTTATTTACTTTCATTTTTAATCCCACGAGTATGGCGACAAATGTCATCGGAAGCAAATGTGTATACAAAATTTCAACAAAATTGGACTGTGGGAAGTGGTTTAAAATTCGATTACAAGATTTGACGCATACAACGACACGGCAAGCTAATATAAGCGTGGTAATAATACTGTTTTAATATTGTTAATAAATTTGTGTCAATTGAAGGGCTTACATCAGCTATATCTTGTTCGGATGCTTTGAATGGTAATCCACGCATGTGTATACTGTGAATACCACCAGAATTGCCACCCCATGTGTCACCGCTGCCTCTGAAATTTCCTCCTTTCATGTCTAAACCTCCACGCATACCCATGTTCCCACCACGGGAGTCAAAATTGTTTCCACTTCCCCAGGGGCCACCATCAAAGTCTATAACGTATTAAGTAAAAATAAAACAAAAGCAGTGAGATAGCCTATCTTTTCAAACGGTTTTGTAACATAACGAAGCAGAAAGGTTATACGTGTAATCATTAAATGAATTTAAATTTGCAATAACTGGTACCTCTGTTTCTGGAACCTCTGCCATTGTTACTGAATCGGTTCATCCCACCGAATCGTGCACCTCTGTCATAGGGAGCAGGTCTCTGATTAAAGCCACCCATCGGCCCACCCCTCATTTTTGGTCCAACACTAGCACGCACTTCAGACAAACTGCTTCTGAAGATTTCGATGTACCTGTTAAGGTTCATATTAGAATTCTTAGTATTCTTAGAACAGATATTACTGCCGTTTATAACCGGCTGCCTTCGAATAGAAAATTTCACAAAAAAAAAAGAAAAAAAAAAGAAAAATATATATATATATATATCAATGAGCACAAGTTCGAACTTGGAAACAAAAAAGGAGAATACGCAGATGGATAACGTGAATTCGAATTAAAACTTCTGCGCATAGCAGATACAGTAACTCGATTATCGTACGTTGCAAAGAGAAAGACAGAGAGTGAGAGAAAAAAGGTAAAAGAAATGATTCGAAGAAAAAAAATCCAAATTGAAGATTTTTGTTAACAGATTAACTGTTCATACTGCACCTCCACGGATTTATTAAACCTGTGGTAAATACCCTCCCACGGTGACATTGCATTCTGTCGTACCTACGTCACCCTAGCCTTTGAGATGCTGATGATCCTCAGGTATATGACAATTACAATTGCACTTTATGCAATACACGATTGAAAAAAAAAAAAAAAGAAACTAAGAGTTCGGTATCGAGAAGCGATACAACCAAGGGAAAAGTATGTACTCGGTATTGAACAATTTCATTATCTTGGAGATAGCTTGAATATCAGAGTTAGCGTATCGTACTACCATCACATTTTCGTGCAATTACGAGCTGTATATACGGTACCGGTGATATTTTATTGAGAAACAAGAAAAAATAAGAAAACTGTGCAAAGCCTGCTTTGAGCTTGAGAATTGGTTCCTTTGCATAAAACGTACAATTGTGCAATTGTCAAACAGATGTGCCAGATTAGATCCATGATAACTACCTCTGTAGCGCCCACCCATCCTGGGTTAGCCCTAACCCACCTCCCATGGGATTTGGTGACGATGTAAGGGGGTACCTCCCGCCCGGCACCCACCCATAGGTTTCAGTTGGGCCAACAGTACTTTCGCTTACGTACGGCTAACTTTTCTTCTGTGTTCGGATAGAGGCAGTCTCTTCGCGTTTATCGATTCATATTACATTACTTGGCGAGAGAACTCAAAGAAATATAAAAGAATTCTTAATACAGATCACGAAAAATTTCATGTTCCTTAGCACGGTGCGTTTGTTAATTAAATTTTTTTCTACAAATAGACTGCGAATGTTTTTGCATTTATAGCAAATCTCATATTCATCGAGGTCTTTCATTTCATTTGAAATCCAATAAAACCGTTAATAGTGTCGGCAAACTTCCGATTTTCGTTTCTGTAAAGCCAGTACATAAATCTATACTTGCACATTATCCACAGTCTAGTAATGAAGAAACTGCATCTATTGACAAAAAAAAAACTCGTTTCCCGCTATTTACTAACAAAATTGATATACCTACATGTACTACGATCATAAAATGATATTGAATAGTCATAAGTATACCCAAACCCAGCTAGCGTCAGTGCCCCACCTGTGTCCTATCTTTTCCTTGTGTTTCTGCAGAGCGCGCTCCGCAACATCTTTGTTAACAAATTGAACGTAAGCCTCCCCAGTACTGCGGCCCGTGTAGTCTGTCGGTAGTGAAATCCCGTTCGGCAATATCTCCAACCCTGACCCACACATAATCAAACATCGACATTGTAGCGTAACACCCATTATTAATTAAAGTATCGTCAGTTCATTAAAACCCTTATAAGGAAGCAAGATTTTATAATATCCTTTGCACAATGACGTGCAAAACGTCTCGCTCCAAAAAAGATACACATATTCGTTTAACAAAGACGAAAAAAAAAAGAATATTCATTACTACACCGAAGTTAAGAATTAAGGTCCACCAACAAGAACACAAAGATGTATTGTAAACGATAATATGTAGAAAGCACATGGAAATCATAATGAAAGTCTTTCGGTCCAGGGCTAGTAAAACATTGGAACTTTTCCGCCTTAAAAGTCTTAAATCTTAACTCAGGTAGTCTGGTAATTCTGAAACTCAGAGACTGCTGCTTGGGATGGATCTACGAGAATCAATGGTGAAATTAGAAAATGTCTCATCATCACGCCTCTTAAACAACTGTGTTCATTCAACGAGTTCAAAAACTTTTTCACTTCTTTTCAAACAGTAATATTATTACATTCATCTATGTATACTACAGCCATCGGAAGCATCGGGTCCTTGTGATTCAAGATTACTCTTTTAATCAACAAAAATCATACAAGAGGGAAATAATTTGATTGAAAAACAAAACAAAAAAGTAAGGATACACTGGTCATTGAGAAGGTTTAAGTGAACTTTTACTAATACATTATGATTAAAAAAAAATAGATATAAATACGAGGTCATATATGTCGTATGAAATACCTGAGAAGAACTGTGCTATTTCTTCTTTAGAACATCCAAAGGGCAGGCCCCGTAGTCTCACGCAACCATCGTCCATAGCATTTTCCAGGTTCAAACCACTTCTCTTGACCACCCATTCCATTTCACCTCTTTTTGCTTTAAATACTACAGGGAGAAAGGAACTCGATTATTCACAATCAACCCTTAAAGTTTCTGTCGCAAATAGCTGAACATCCTGTACAGTTGTACCTTCTATGTAACGGTGACCCATGTGGTCTCTGTCTCGTTTACAAGCTTTTTCAATATCCTCGGGTGTGTCCATTTCCACGTAAGCTTCGCCGCTCGGACGACCCTCACGGGACATAGTCATGTGAACTCCGTTTTTACCATTCGTGATAGTGCAATCACTGAAGAATTTTATAATCTCATCGACAGTGGTGGACCACGGAAGTCCACGTAATTTGACAACATAGCCTTCATCGTCGTGATCTCCACTACCGTTCGACATGACTGCAATCTAAAGGAGATTGTTTTATAAATTATTCAATGCATAATTTAACACATTCGAGACCGATGACTGTGGGATAACTGCTGGGGATAGTCTTCTGTTAATATGGAGGTCTCGAAGTATTAATACAGTAGTCCCCGCTTAATTGACGCAGGGTTAGGTTCACGATGCGACAATTATCGAGGGAGGTAGGTGGTTTAGAAATTGCCGGCTGTTATATCTCTTCAATTCACTCGCTTTTTGAGCACGTCGGGGGCAAAAGTGAGAAATATTGGGTGGGGGTGAAATAGAGATAAAGGCCCGAACAGCTGTTTTACGATGTGTAGCACAGATAACGTAAATGCTCGTTCCAGGAATTTAACTCCGCGTCAATTAGACGGAGACAAAAATCGTCTATTAAGTGGGGATTGCTGTACTTTCGAAACTACTATATGCTACTTCCTAGGAAAATGAATATTTTTTTTTAAACTCCTGGAGGAATGGAGACTCCACTATCTAAATTTTTGTAGACCTTTTTGAAAAAATTAGAATTGTATTTTTACGGATTCTTATGTATCATTGTACAAACTTAAAACTGATAATTTTAGGATGCACCTAAATCTCAGAGCTATCTATAAATTGTGAAATATACACTTTGCACTAAAACAAATTGTCAAACACGAAAGACTTGTTTCATAATCCTATTAATCTAAAAAAACAAAAATCATGAACTGTTTTTATTGTCTTCCAAATAAAATTTTAGATTTAAACATTATACTATGTTACTGATTCTCACTTTTTTATTCAGAGCAACAATAGAAAATCATGGACCTTGGAGACATTAAATCCTACTTTATTACTTATTACATGAAATTCATGATTTAGAAGAAATTGTGTTGATAAAACAAATTTTTTAGTAAAAAAAATAAATGTGAAATATAAAATGAAAATGATTTTCTTAATAAAGTGTTTAAGCAATCTGATGTAATCTGTTATTTAAGTTTCGTAAATAATCTTCTATATTCTCTTAAGATAAGATATAGAAACAAAATATTTCAATAAAATCAATAGGCATTATGTATCCAGAACCCAGTGCAACTAGTTTTTATATTCTGCTAAAACATTTAAGCTTGGTGGTTAACATTGAAATAATGCAATCCTTATCACATGAATTGAAAAATAAGATACTTCACTATATTGAAGTACTATTATTTACATATATTATTCTGAGGCTAATTTTAATATAGGGAAACGTCAGTTAAAAAATTTGAAGGTCAGAGAAATACAAAAAAGAAGAAAAGAGTAAACAGAAATGTATCAAATACTTCGGAATTTATTGCTAACGAAAGTATTGAGTTTATATCGATGAAGAAATAGGCAACATGTGAGAAGTAAGAATGCCAGAAACTTAAAGAAAAAAATGTCGTTACAGGAGAATTTGTAATGCCGTTAATATTTCTGTATATATTCTTTTTTTAGTAAAATTGATTTGTTCCTTACACAGTAGATATTACACTGATACTTACAAATATTCAGTGGTGGTCTATGAATAAGAAAAAAACCACAAATTAATTTTAATTGACAGCGAACGCTTGCCTCCGTTTGCCCAACACCACGCTCCAAAAGACTGCCAGCAAAATGGCGTTCGCTTCAACGATGCTTCAGGCTCGTTTACAATTACTATGTAATCTTAAAACTACCATTATCAATTTATTTATAATTATATATAGCATTTTTTATACTTCCAGATATATAAATCTTCCCTTAATTTATATATAAGTTTTTATCTTGTCAAGTAACTGAACAATTAAAGGGATTTAATGCTTTTTAACCTAAGAAGTTTGGAATGCTTATTTCATATTTACGAACACACTTGAAACTACGCATCTTTAGGAATATTTCTATGTAAAACACAAAACTACATTTTTAGAAAACTCGAACACATTTAAATTACTAATAAATTAATTATAACTTGGATTGAACGTAATTTTCGAATTCACGGTTCACATAATGTACAGACTGCTAACATCACAGATTTTTTAAGGTGCTGGTAGGTATTACAGATTCCTAATGCGACGAAGTTCCGTTAAGATATTAGGTCTGTTCTTGTATCTGGTTTATGTTATCACTTATGAAAGAATTATTTGAAAACGTCGCAAGCATAAATTGCTAATGATTAAGATCTATTGATAAAAATATAAAAGAAAATTTAAAAAAGAACTTTCATTTGGACTAGTGGGTGGACAATATTGCTATAGTCATATAAATAAGTACATAGTCGTACAATTATTTCATGAAACGATCCTAAAATCATCGAAACTACGTAAGAATCTATCCTTCCAATTGCGATCTTCATACTGAATGAATAAAAATCCGTTTCTAGGGACACGTCCGAGGTCGTGACAGGAACCGAAAGGATAGTCTACCGGACAGCAGTGGGACTATTGAAGTTGAGGAATCGCGGAGAAGGTAGTTGTGACAAAACGTCTATTGTGGAATCGTGGGAGAGTATATGGTGGATCCAGAGGAGTACCGTCTGCATTCGAAGCTGGTAGTGTCGGACGACTCGGATAAAATCGACGACACGTGTGGCTGCGTAACTGTGAATTGAATATCAACGACAGGTCATCGTACGGCCGCACAATGAGCTTCCTATTGTAAGTTGTTTTTTTCCTCCTTTTTCGAGTGAAAATTGACTTTTCCTCCTCCCCCCTAGTTCCCTCCGACGATACTGTGTTGACTATTAGGAGCGAATGAAACAAAACAAGACCACGGCCCGCGAATTTGCAGTTCGGTATCTTGTTAATTTCGATCGCGAACGACAAATGACAGGGTAAGACGAATTGGTAATTCGTGTTCCGCGGACCGGGTAACAAATATTGACAGAAACCGCCTCCGCCAGTTTCCATTCGCCTAAGCCTCGTCTAATTTAAGTCCCCCGAACCGTTCCACTCGAATTCGTGCACATCCCGATCGTCCAATCGGTGGATACCTAAAAATAGCACAATACCATAATTTCTTTAAAAAATATATATCGTTTTTTGTTTGTTCCTTCGTGATCTTTTACCCTTTCTTCCTCGCCGCTTTCACCCATGCCCCGTTCCACGCGCACCGTATTCGTCATACGTCAAATTTATCGCGTAGACGTTCGTTATCTGCGAAAGTAACGTTCGTTTTCTGCGATGCATTTGGTCTCTGGGTGGAGGCATTCGAATCGTGATTCAAATCGATCGATTTTGTCACGTCCGCCCCGATCGGAGCTGGTCAGTATAAGTTTAGTAAACAGTTTCAACTTACTTTCATGTTTGATGCACTGTACTGTGAAGGAAATGTTATTATACTTCTGTTTACTCCTTTTGCATCCTGTCACAAAATTTCAGACACCTTACTGTTATCTATCCTCAAGCTATTTCAGTTACTTTCCTGTTGATGTCTAATCTTTCTCCTTCTATATAATCATTTCATTGTGCCACCACATCCTCTCATTGTTTTCATTATCTGTACCTTTTATTCTATAATTTATAGTTTCTAGTTTAAATGTCAGATTTAGTTAGTGGTGTTATTTTACTTTCAGTTTGAAGGTCATATATTATAACAGACTTAAATATGATTATATTCAATAACATTTCATTTTGAACTACCCATTTGAGTATACAAATAATTTACTACTTGTCAATAAATCATACTGTTACTAGGACTGACAATTTGAAAATTTGACTGGTTTCGCAGACACGATGCATCGTTATATTTGGTTTGCCCAATTAAAATAAGTTCATTTAATATACAAAAAAAATTGCAGTTGCTAAAACAAATGTTTTTGTGGATTTGTCAAGTGGAAGCAGGTCTTCCAAGACCTTCAAGCCAAAGAAGAATATTCCAGAGGGAACTCATCAGTATGATCTAATGAAACATGCTGCTGCCACTCTAGGATCTGGCAATTTGAGACTTGCTGTTATGCTTCCAGAGGGTGAAGATTTAAATGAATGGGTTGCAGTAAATAGTATGTAAAGAATTGCAGAAACAGTTATCTACGCTATGCAACAGTTCAAGTAATTGCTCCATTGTTTCAGCTGTTGATTTCTTCAATCAAATTAACATGTTATACGGCACCATCACAGAATTTTGCACAGAAGAAAGTTGTCCCATCATGTCCGCAGGGCCAAAATACGAGTATCATTGGGCTGATGGGCACACTGTCAAGAAACCAATCAAGTGTTCTGCCCCAAAGTATATCGACTACTTAATGACCTGGGTGCAGGATCAATTAGACGACGAGACATTATTCCCTTCAAAGATTGGTGAGTGATATTTCTCTTACTGAACAAAGTAATTCTGTTCAATGAAACAAAACGCTAAAAATGCTGTTGATTGTTTAGGTGTTCCTTTCCCAAAAAATTTCTTATCCATAGCCAAGACAATATTGAAACGACTGTTCAGAGTATATGCCCATATTTACCATCAGCACTTCAGCGAAGTAGTACAACTAGGCGAGGAGGCACATTTAAACACATCTTTCAAACACTTCATATTTTTTGTTCAGGTAATGGAAAGAAAAATTACTGTGCTTGTTACATTAACAGTCCATTCGAGATAAGATTAATTTCAAGAAATCACGTAAATCCGATTCTTTTTTTTGTCGTTACAGGAATTCAATTTGATAGAGAGAAGAGAATTAGCGCCGTTACAGGAATTAATAGAAAAATTAACGGCGAAGGACGCCCGATGAATGATCTCGTCTCGTCATCCGAAAAAAAAAAACAACTCCAAAGAATCTCACCCGTGCTATCTTGTAACGAACGTGTAACTACGCATGTTATTTAACTAACTTAATCATTGCTAAAGCGACCATTGCCTCTAGCCAGGAACCGCTCTGCCTGACGAGAAGTGACTGACCAGAAATTTTCTAACGAACCACGGACATCAGTCGGACATATATGATACTCGATGAATGTTTCGGTTGTTCGTAAAACCGGAACGAATAATATCAGAACGATTATGGGGTGAGGATTAGTGATGTAGACTTTTGTAAAATAGTTGTACACCGGATACGCATCGTAGTGCTCGTTTTGTTTTATGTTTCGCGAAAGAATTGTAATTTATTGCGCGTAACAAGTTTTTATACTTGGAATTTACAGTCTAACGGCGTTCAAGTCGAAAAGTGCACCGTTCTTTAATGATTCTTGCCGCTTGGTGTCTTAAGTTGACCAGCCGTCAGCAGCGTGAATCATACGCGAAGAGATTAATTCATATCGGCTATAGAACAGATATAGTTTCGTAAAATGTTCGAACAACGATGATACTCGGTCTTGCGTTTCTTTTTTATCGATACACCTTTCTAAAGTATCGTATTATTACGCAATTTTAATCAGTCTTTCAAAAGTATCGACGCTTTTAACGATAAAATCTACACACATACACACACACACACGCTTTGTCTGAGAAAAGGAAAAGAAAACTTAGCGTTCTAGATCATGTTTTTATCCGGAGAATTCGTTCGAGACTGTTGCGTTTTCACTGTCGAACGAATCAAACGACACGGTGTGATGTTTATGTCACGATGCTGCACATTGTTGATATATAAAGTTATTAAGTTAATATAATGCTATTATATTATATTCATAACATGTAATTAGTTTTAGATGATTATCGTGTTAAGCGCTTAATAGAAATTATTTAATAGAGTTAGGGATTTTATACGCACTATATTTTATCCTTTATACGAGTGAGTTTTTGAGTCTGTTCTACTTTTAAAGATGCATATTATATTTAAGCCGTTTGCGTATCGTACAACTGGGAAACACGTCTTTCTTCTAAATGAATTTTATCGCCTTTAATTTTCAAAATTGTTTATTTGTTAATGTACATAAAAATCGACGCACATTAACCGAACGATGGTTTCCATTTCCGAGTAGGACTTATGTTTCGACCGACGTTCAGTTTGAAGGTTAAGAGATTGATTCGATGGATACAGGGTATCCCAGAAAGAACGCAAAGGGCAATTTTTCACATAAATATAATTAAATGGAAAAAAACTATCGCGCGTGTATGTAAGAAACAGTACACGTGCTTGTGAGTTACATCGCCATTAATTCTTTACAGTACAATACGATCACACAATGATACCGTCATTTAAACATTGTTCGAACAAATGTTACATTACTTCCTAAGCAGAATGAAAAATTTTAAACGATACTTGGAAAATGATACTTGAACCTAAAAATTAATTGTTTCTGTGTACTGTAAAGGGTTAACAGCAATTTAATAGGAACGTGAAAAATAGAATATATATATTCGTTTCTTGCGCGTTCAGCTGCACGCATGTTCGTTTTCTCGCTTATAGATGAGATGTTAATATATACATATATTATACAGAGAGATGCTTACTGTTTCCATGCGCAGCGAACTGCATCGCGTTGCAATCAAGTATTAAACGGACGCATTTGTATCCGCTTGCAACGATAGATGCGCTGTTTACGAGTTTTCCGTTCGCGCTGTCTCTTTTGCTCTTTGCTGTGATGAACAGAGTTTGCATTTTTTCTTTTTGCGAAACGCGCTACGCTTACATGGAGAAAGAATGAATTCGCGCGAGTCTTTGTTATCGATACAAATGGTAATTCGTTTGGGAAGGGGGGGGGGGACCATTAGAAGTCATCGCCGCGTATGATCACAGGAAGTGTAGTTCATTTTCGTTCACGCTATTCAATAGGATTATTATGAAATTCTCGAAGAGCATTTGTTCGGAAAGAAAATTTTTATTGTATAATACGCGTGCAGAAAGTAAGGTATTACATGTAATTATTAAAAAAAGAAAGGAAAGGCAGTAAAAGAAAAAATTAGTGAATAGGTAATTTTTGTTCGCTACTTTAATAATTATGAATGGTACCTTAAGTTTCTGTCGCGCCTCGTGTCTACTAAGTGGAAGAAATATGGTAAACTCGTCAAGTCAGAGAGAGGTTAATTGTTGATGTCGGAAGTTGAGACAATACAATATTCATTGACAATGTTCACATTGTTTCTGTAACGTGAACCAATCAGAGGCATTGGAAAATTAAATTGTAGAGTGGGCGTGGCTAAAATGTGAAGTGGGTGTGACTAAATTGTAAAATGGGTGTAACCAAGAGGGGTGTAATCTTAGTCACTCATACTAGATCATTGTTCCCGTCGTTCGTCAGATATTAAGACCGTTTTAACTCGTGAAAGATGAACGTTATGGACGTTATGAGTTTCACGAGTTTACTTTATCTCGTCCACTCCCTACACACACAATTAGGGGACACGTGCGTGCGTGCTCGCATTTAAAACGAGCGACGGAACAAATCGTATATATTTTTTAAGCGTCCGCCGCCGGACCGGTACACACGAGGAGTTCTTTCATCTTTTGTTACATACCGACAAAGGGGGAACGTGAAACGTGTGCCGCGACACCGTATATAATTCATGTGATACTTTTTCATGTAAATCGCGCAAGGATCAATGAGGAAATTTCACGTGGTCCAGGACTAATAATAAATGTATTTTATTATACACGACGTAAATGGGGGAGTAGCTTTGATAAACGATATGTATTTAAACGACGAGAGGGAGAGAAGCGTATAAAGGTGAAGCGTCGTTTACACGGAGCTAGGTTATATTAATGTCGGATTTCCACGTCAAGAGCTTTTTTCTACTACAGTGGACTCTTGATATATTGCCACGGCTGTAAGAGAGTGAAATATTCTCGAAAGCGTCAACGTATCGAAAGCCCCCTTTATGCTAAGGGTACATCTCCACGTGAAAGTAAAAATTATGGCTTTCGTTGCCGTGACACTGGATGACAATGTAAATCAATGTCACAACACGATACCTAGTTTTCACGACACAGTCGTAACATTTATTGTCATGACTGTAAACGTCACGATTTACTGTCACGTGGAAACGCACCTTAAGTTCTGCCGTTGTAGCCCCAGCGCCTGCGCGACAGCTGGATCGTGCTAGTGGCGACGACGCACGCAACGTGGTGGGAGAGCGAATTTGCTGCGTGTGAAAATACGTGTGGAGGGGAAGCGTCTCGCGCGGCACTATTGCAAGCTGCAATATACAAAGTGATCCCCTTCGCTGAGCAAATCAAGTGCCGTTTTAAAGAACCGGCGTGTGTGTAGACCAATCGACAGATTAGATGGGCCGAAGCGGTGGTTCTTTAGAGTTGCACAGCCTTTGATTTACGCAGCGAGAGGATTACCCTGTATCAAGAGTCTACTAGACTGATAACGAAGTGGTGGAACGTGATAAATAGTTGAGGTAATAACAAAAAAAAATGGATTTTGATTAATAAGTTACACATTTTAGTAATATTTGTCCGGATATACTTGTGCGGTAGTTGTGAATTGAAAAAGTTTAGTGAGCTATGAGAATTAGTTTTACCCGACGAGCAACGAATAAACTAAGTCTCCATGTAAACGACGCTTAAAATCAGTCGCGAGAGGGGAAACGGTGAGATGAGCCTGATGTAATCTGAAATGGACCGTGGCGGGTGTGTTTACAGTGGCGCGCTGAATGTAAAACGTATAAACAAGTAATCCACAATAATAATGGCTCGTAACGACGATAATATGAATTGTATTCAGTACTTAAACGAGAACGCGGGAGAGTCGTACCTTATTAGAGAACGTTTAATTACGAAGCAGAGGACACGAACCGATATTTGCTTTCGTTTCATCCGGGAGCAACCTCCGTCGTACGAGTGTTGTGTGTCACATAGTGGTTTTTTTACACAACAGTAACACCGTTATCGATTACGATTAGTATTATTAATATTATTATCGCTAACGTGTTTATTACCATTCATACGCATACTATGTCATAGCGCTAAACGATCATCCGTTTTAACGATTTTCTTTTGTCTTCCTTTTTATTTTTGTTTGTCCATTCACTGATCACACGTGTATACTCGGCCTGTCATACTCTTGGAATAATTAAGCGAGCAAACAATTCTTTTTTTTTTATTTCTTACGTTCATTCTGTTAGGAAAGTCTGTTTCGCATCGCTGGAAGCTCTTTTTAATCGGACTAGTCGATAGGGAGAGAGAGAGAGCCATTCCCGTCGTCGTCACAGTGAGAGATAAATATCAATCATTGTTTTGTAATACGGTTACGCGAACTTATCTTCTTTTTATTTTTGTTTCAAGTGAAATAATTATCGAAGTAACAATCCGACCACGGAACACGTAACATTTTATATAAATTATTTTGTAAAAGCTACGAGTGAACAGCAATTTATTTCTTGTGGTAAAGAAATTTCAAAAGATCGAAATAAATATTTTTGTTTCTATTACGCACATTTTCCTGTGTTATTAAACAAAAAATGTTATATTAATATATGTATTTGCCTTGTAAACGCTCGTGGAACACTGTGCATCTAAAAGTTCAAGCGTTCCAAGGTCCAAAAAAAAATTCTGCAAGAAGAACGCAAAAAATCGAAAGTATTTTAGATTCAACTCACTAGGAAGCTGTTTTATCGTACGAAACTAGGTAATGTTGGTATAGTTCATTTTTCATTTCTCAAAAGGCCTTCATCATGGAAAGAGCTTTCAGAAAACTGATTGTCCACTTGTGTTTAATGACACTAGTGATACACATATATATATAATATATATCTCTGTGCAATGTAAATAATATTTTTCTCAAATAAACGGAAGCTAACGCGTAACCAAGACACACAACAGTTGCGTTCTTCGCACTCCCGTTATTTGTTATCATTTTTTTTTTCATTAAAGTCCTGTTCAATATTCTCCAGTGGGGTTCGTCAAATGTTCATCGATCATACTTTCTCCGGTGCATTTTCCTGTTACTGTACTCTTACTTAAGTGAAATCTACCGCACG